ATCGGGAACGTTGGAAGCACTGTCTGACGCGTCTGCCTCCGCGACCCGAAAGGAGAAGCGGCGATGGAACGTGAAGATGAAGGTTTTGTTTTGATGCCAGAGTCATTATTTTTTCCTAATGCATATTTACGGCAAGGTAGCAAGAATGTGATGATGAGTTTGTAAAGCAATATGTGAGTATAAACAGCAGACATTTATTCACAGTTTAACTGCGTAACAGTGGAATCCATGTTGAGCTAATTTTGCTAGTTTCTGCCTTTCCGTTGATTTTGTTCTTTGAGCGCACCAGCGTAACTGATTTCAGAATCGGTCGCCAGTTTGCTTTCCTGGTATTCATGCTACTTTGAACTATGCGACTCTTTAGTATTCACTGTTCAGCCACAGCATATCCTTTTCATCTGTTCTGTTGAGACTATTCATATGCTTGATGACCCAGACTGCTTGACTGAATTTGTTGTCATTTTACCAAAATATTATATTTACAGCCTTCATTCGCTCCTGGAGAGGTTACTTGTGTCGATAAAGGAGAACTCTGATTATCAAATAGAATGCTTCTATCTTCATTTTATGGTAGAGTACCCTAACCACGAGTAAAGAAAAATTATGCTTCATCTAACCAAATTTTGTTATTTTCTGCTGGGTATCAGAGGAACTGCTATAACATGATAGTCATTAGCTCTAAGCCTACGGAACGCTTTACAATTTCTGAATGACTTACTCAGAAACCAAAGTATTTCAAATTTAGAGTGAAAGACCAAATTATGCTGCGGCAAAAAAGACTGACAATCAGGGTTTGCTTCACAACAGTGATTTCAATAAGCAACAACTAGGTAAATGATTTCGAAATCTCATGATGATACCGCGCAGTGGAATTTTAATAAACCTCGATTTCCATAACCAGCAACGTAGCTGAAACCTGATGAAAACTATCACCTAAATAAATCAACGTTTCGATAGACAACTCTCACCTCACGCAGTTGTACTGTCCTCCTATTCTCACTAATGGGGTTAAGGAATCTGAGTTGCCCAACAGAATTTTCAGGCTACTATTTGAGTTCACTAATGAATGATAGCAAAAACAATATACTTGACTTTCTTCGTCAGGGCTCGAATTGAAGAGACTTCGCGTCTACCAATCGCTACGAGATTATTTTTTATTAGCAATCCTTAAATTCAGTTGGTGCTGTTATCACGCTTTCGCTGTGATACAAAGCGATATTGTTTCTGATGGTCAACGATTACTCAGAGAAAATCTGCTCCTCTTTACAGCTTATGCAATAACAAGGTGCAAACTGTCGCCGTGTCCCCAAGCGTTGAAAGTAGCGTAAGTAACTATTACGCTAAAATACGCTGGGATTCACTTTGGAAAAATACTGAATCCTCTAAGTAGCCACAGAAAAACAAAGTCGTGGTATGTTTCGCACTACAGTAATGAGCTTCTGAGCGAGTGGATTGTGGGTAGTGATTGGGAGATGGTTTGCTCCAAGAAGCTCTGAAATAATCACTGAATGATTCGCATTTAATATCAAACTACTCTCCCATAGCTTGTTTTCCATGCCAGACAAAATCAGTTTTAATAAAACATGATCTGAGAATGAGTTTAATGAGAAGATTTGAACTGAAATCATAATTTAAGGGGTTTCCTGTAGCTGCAACAAACAGACAAAAGAAACTTAAACGCACCTCCGGCGATATTACAATATGTGCGCAGATAGATTGTGGCCAAAACAATATGTCCTACTGTCCTTATCGATTAGTTACATTTCTATCTGCTAAGCATGATTTTACTTTTAATTACAGACGATAACTCTGAGATGCACGTAAACGAATACATTGAAATGATGCAACGGCGGTGAAGATTTCAGGAAATATTATAAAATTTTAATTACATGCGAATAATATACGTTTCAATGTACCTCATGTATTACATTAAGCTTGCCTCGACGGATTCAAATGATGCGATCTCTTAAATGTTCCTGAAGCGACAGTCAATCGGCTTGCGAACGAACAGCAGTCTAATGCAACTCTCGAAAGATAGTACTGCCAGGCCAGATTAGACAAATGGGTTCAAAAAGTAACTAAAATTTAAGCAGATACTACTGGTTAACTATCATAATGTTTCCTATTCAATTCTGCCAGCAAATAAATTCAGTCAAATCATAATTTCGACAAGGGGGCTGACGCTGCGCTCTACAATACTCAACTATGGAATTATGAATTACTACCGGCGGAACTGAAAAGCTGTTATTTATAGCGGTACGCCAGAAGATTTGCGATATTTTTCTTTTATATATTTGCCTGCGGACAGCAGCAAGTCTACGTGGTGTTCGAATGTACCAATGTTCATCTGAACACTGAGATGCGGTTTTGCAGTCGAGGCGCAACAGGTGCTCAAATGCAATGCAACCGAGGCCTGTCTAAATGATCGCCCTAGGGTCTAGAAGCAACAGGTGGTGCTATAGGCATTACATCTGAAATTAAGCATCGACTGGACGCGCCTAAAATCTTGTTCAAAATCTTTCGTTTACAATAACCATTCGCATACATGTTGGAGAACTGCGCACCATATCAAAACGACTGTCAAAAGAGGCCAAATCATGAAGTGGTAAATGATCTTTGTCACAGAAGTCAGTTTCGTAGTACATAAATAAGATATACTACTTCCACCAGGTTACAGATAAGTAGTCAGTACAGTTTTGCTGTTAAACCTGCTTCAGTTTCAGATGACGCTAACAACTACACATTTCGCAGCTGACAGCATTGGAGCATTGGGGTTAGTTCTTTCCTCAAGCGAGTCAACATCCAGCCCATTATTTTCCAAATACACCTAATCAAAAATATCATTCAGGAAGGTGTTATCGACCGTTGCCTAATAACGATACAGGATAAAACGCCGTCTTGAGAGAATCCACGGAGCACCATGTCGCTATGTACCATCCGGAGGTTCCCAGTGAACCAATGAACCTTAAAAGTAGAGGCCATCAAGCTCTAGCTGTAGCAAGGATGTTAATTTCTATCTTCACTCCAACATGTTCTGAAATTTCACAATTTCGCGATAACACATCAGTCGATTCATCAAGTTGGATAGAAAACGATGCAAATGCAGTAGACTTGATGTCCTGCACAACTTGATCCTTGATCTCAACGGTCATGTCGCTGATTCTCTTTTGAACAGTACTATTTGATAATGAAAATGCTGCAAGTTTTTTCTCCAATCCATTTCCCAACACAATTTTAGCAATATTGAGGGCGCAAGGTTTGATCAAAGTTTCCCAGTTGGATATGGATTTATCTGCTTTGCTATCTCCAGTGCTACGACATAAGAAGCTTCAGTAACTTTGCAGTTCATTTCTTTGAATGCCTCTGTTGAACCCAACTTCATACTTCTGAGGGCATTCTCATGGAATTTAAACAAGCTTTGGTTTCTGTCCGTGTGCTAAGAATGAACATTAAGAAAATGTTGCTTCACCTTCGTTGGTTTCATAAAATCAACGGTTACAAAAAATACATTACATGTCTTTTTTCTCCACAGATAACGATGAATCCAAACTGAATATAGGAATCATTGTACCCTCTTTTACACCACATGATGGGCTCCAAAATCTGTGAATAAAAACAATAAATCAAATGTAAAAAGTGAAATATTTATCTTTATTTTCAGCCTAATCTGTGACACAGAATAAGGTGTAATGTACTGTAGATCATTTACAATCTGTAGAATTGCAGTTTGTTTGTAGAAAGATCAATATTCCAACAATTTGAGTTTATGGTCTCAATTCCCCAACGGGAGGGGGGAGGGAATTACTTTCTGGTTGAGAAACTCTGCTCTAAGCAGATGTTGTTTTTAAACAACTAACAACAGTATATTAAAAATGCAGCTTGCAAGCACCGTTTAAGCAGGAATGACAAATATGAGAAACCAGAGCCTTTTCAAATGGTGTCATACAGTAAAGTTTCAAACAGGCGATCGATGGACTTTGAAACCCACAAACCTCAAGATTTGTCTTACCTGTCAAACCGGACTCCAAAATTTCTTTCTTGGATTCGACCAACACCTCCGGAAGTTTTGAGATGGGGACACACACGTCGGTAATCCACACCTAAAAGACGTTCAATTAAACTATCATAGCTACTAAACCCAATAAACTAAGATTAATGCGTAAATTATACACCACTGGAATTAAAACTAACACTGATAAGTAACGATGGGTCTTCCAGAATGTAAGTATCATTATAAAAGTAATAACATAACCACAACCCTAATCAACATAACTGATGATCCCAGCAAAATATCTGCAAACAACGTCCAATAATTTAGTTTTCTCGAATTTGCTAAACCCTGTTTCAGTTCGTCCAGCACCTCTAAAAGACAGAGGTTCATCTACTCTAATGCCACTTTGGCAATCATGATTATTACAATATACGTACCTTATGGTTCGGCCTAAGAGAAGCCACTGCATAGAACATGCTGTGACGCGCTTTCCAAAGTTTCGCTCGCTCCTCTGGCTGCAATGACCAAGTGAATTCTGAGCCACCGAAACTTTCGCAGATTTCCTCTAGAAGTATTGTCTGTTTACTACGGATCAGTGATATGCATTTAGCGTTCATCAAATCATCGTATTTTACGAAAACTGCAATTGGTTATGAGAAGATTAATGACGAAAATATTCCTTCAGCACCGGAAGTGAGTAAAAGCGTTTCTCGTCAGCATAATTTTGGATCTGCACCCGCTGAGCTCTTCGTAAAGAGGACAGGTCGAATATAGAAGTAGCTGCGTGCTGCTTTGCTGCGATTATTCTTTTATAGCAGATAAAATAAGAGACAGGAGGAGATACGTCGGATCAAGTATATACTTTATCGTCAATCGAACGTTTGCAGAATATGAAAAGCCCTTCCTATGAGATTGGAAAGAAGTATCGCGGACAAAATATAGTGAGACAAAGCGCATCAATGAAGAAACGCCACAAACAATCACATAGGAAGTCTACTGAGAGCTCATGGTTCATCCCCTGACAAGTTTTATCTATCAGAATGCATTAAGAGCATAAGTGTACTCCATCTTCATTGAAGGACATCTTCCATAATTCATCCGTTATGTTTCTGTTGCCTAATGACTGAGTTGCAATGTTATTGTTGGACTTCTCCATTTTCATTATTGTCACTACTGGTAAATCCTGCTAAAGTCATCCGCCAAAATTTTTCCTAGGATATGACAAAAGAAAAGATCATTAAAGTATAAGTAACTTCGAAACAACTGAAAAAGATTTTGTTGAGTACTGTAGAAACGCACAAATCTCTAGATCAGCAAAGCTGTTTGGTTGTTCGTGCGTTCTGCTACGGTTACGAAGACGATCGAATTACGTTGTCTGCTGCTATGATAAATCTCGTCAAGCCAGCCCATGGCGCACTCATACCCACTAATTCTGAATTAGTCATAATCTCCCGAATACTTCCTGCTGTATTTTTGGAATAATTTACTGAATCTCACAACTGTTTCTTGCCAAACTGACTGGCAGAAGGCCCAGGGGATGACCAAGATTAACCTGGTGCAAATATATGGAAGGAGTCTGTCCCAGACTTCAGCTGCTTTCTGCCGAAGCTCAGACGATGGCACAGGATCATGAACGTTGGAAGTACTGTTTGACGCGTCTGCCTCCGTGACCCGAAAGAAGCGGCCATGGAAGATGAAGATAAAGAGATTACCGAATCTATCTTCCTATGCCTATTTTCAATTGTGAAAAACTACCTGGTAATTTCATCAAGCGATTTCAATCGCAATCATCTGAATGGTCTTGCCTCAATTGGTCTTAAAAACTCGGCCACTTCAACCAACGAGGAAACCGCCGCTACTGAACGAGCAACTGTCATGAAGTCTGTGGCTCTCGTCGAGCAACACCGTTGGCACTGTCAGATCACTGCGTAATTCGCGTTCTTCCTGTGGTTTCTTCTAGTAAAGATCAGGGACAATTAGCAAACTTCACATTCTAAATTGATCAGCTTATACTGACAAAAGATGAGAGGATTACTTCAATTTGCGTCCTCCTTTAAATGGCCGCCTCTCTGCTCTTGATCGGAGTCAAGAAGAATTAAGCAGTTTTGTATGAAGGATCGTTGCTGCAATAAATTAGTTTCGATACCATCTATCCCGTGTAGAAAAGTTTCGTCACTGAGCGTCGCATCACTTAGAAGTCGCTACAGTGCCTCCGTCGCCAGAAAAAGCGAGCGTATAGCCCATTTTAATGGCGTATCTTCAGTCAGAATCAGGAGGAGAGAGATTTCTCGGTTAAACCAGATGTACGTCCAAGACTACTTCACTGATGAAGAGCCAGAAAGCTTCTAGAGAGATACCAACTTCTGCAGTACAATGAATTCAGCTTCACCCCAAACTGACAGTGATGAATTCAACAAGTACCGTATGCGCTTCAACAGCGATCAATCAGTCTGTATTAAAATTTTTGCTCTGGACGCAGCAAATGGTCAATGACCAGTGCAGTGTGCGGTAAGCGATGTTCGGTCCTGTCTGGGTCGCTTTCACTCCAAAGTCAGCTTCCTGACAAGGTCAGTTCACTAGTGCTGAAACCGTACTCGATCGAATTGTGCGACATTTTGAAAGAAACATTTAATTGTTGGTTTACACCAGTCGCTGATTCTCGACGACTGGCGTCTTGTATCCATTATTCCAGTGCCAAAGAAAGGAACCAAAACAAATGGGCCTGAACGTTATCCCCTCCAATAACAATGACCTTGGCACTTCTCAAATGTCTGAAACATCTCATCTTGCCCATTATTGAAGCAGTCAGTAATCGGCGTGTTTGATCTTTACATTGTGATACGAACGAAGAACGGGAACCAATTAGGTAACTGTCTGATAGATCAAGTTATAGTAGTACTCGATAAAAGCAGAATAGAGAAGCCGCGATTCCTTATCCTTAGTTCTGCTTCTGACGTTGCTTCGCGCTACCAAGTGTTCTAAAAGCTAAAAACGCTAGCCAACTATCTCTCAGTTGCTAGATGGCTGGCCATTTCTCTCGCCGCCAGTTCGTCATGGTTGGAAAGAAGAGACTCAGTCCATAGCAGAACAATCTCGGCTTAGTTCAGGGCTCTGTTCTCTATTCTGCATTTCAACATCTTCATGAATGATTGCATCGTTAGCCTCGTCTTAAGTGCATCAAATAGGCAGATGACACTGTTATATCTGTATCAATAAACTGGCCAGTGAGTTGTAAAAATACAAGAATGGCACCGCCTATGCATGACAGTGCTTCTTCGCTAGTTTTCTTCTATCGAATGCATCTAAAACTGTTGAATGGATCTGAAAAAATGCGAAATACGAAGAATTCCATTCTTCCGGATTCCTTTCACATTCTGCGCTAGTCAATAACAGTCACTTAGTCAAACTTTCAAATACTAAGGTGTCATTCTGCTATCTGATCTTACCTGGCATGCACACTTACAGTGTCTCACAATCAGATGTTGTACGGCTTCATTTTATGTAAAGCGTTTGAAAAATCTTCATGCAACGCATGATGCCACCAAGAAATTTTTCTCTGCATCTATTCTACCACATCACACAAATGCATCTGGAGTCATCTTTCCAGGCATGCTGATATGCAACTTTAAGGCACTAAGGAAATCACAGAGACAGTTTTCGTGAATAAGCGGTCTTTCAAACAATGATCTATTGAGACACGCAGCTGATTTTGCGATCGCTAGCGGCAATCGTATGAGTAAGAACATTCTGGAGAATCGCAGTTATTCAGTGCATAATAGACTAGCAAAATTTGTCGCGAATCTCATCAGCTATATTTAAGCATGTATTTAGGAATGTCAATGTATTTGCGATAACGGAACTGTATTGAACATATATAATCCCGGTTTCAGTGCACGTTCAACGAAGTCCCACAAACGTCAAGCAACAGTGCTTGAATTCGCTCAATGTTACATAATTTTCTTCCAGTCCAACTTTATTATCTTTGCTTTGTGGCTGTTCTGCACTGGTTTTATCGGCGGTTCGCTTGTTCTAGATTTATTTCCTCAGGTCTAAAGGCACAAACGTAATCCTGATTCGTGATGTGTAGCTAGATTTCATGTTGTCTACTTGCTGAAGAATGGAATTCTTTCGCGATCCCATTCAAGCAGTAAAACTTTATTCTTTCATTCATTCATACAAGGTTTCGTTGTCTACGTTTCCTGTCGGCAATCCTTTCAGCTACCATAACAGCCAAATTAAATGAAAAGATTGAGATATCATGCTTATTTACCGGTGAAGACCATAATCAATCTAGGATACCATGTTGCCTGCCATCTTGCTGGAGATAACCAACAAGACTACCTGGAAAATAATGGACGCACAAAAGACAGCATCGAATAGTCAAAAGCAATCAGGTGGTGTTACCACCAGCATCCACTATAATTCGTACAGCCTACAATCGCATAGCAGCGCTTACCGACAATCTTCACTTGAGAGTTAACTTCTGCATCGCTGCCGTGGAATTCCAAACAAAGCGTCGGCATTTCCGGTATGTTCAGTTTGCAATACGTATTGACTGCGTGAATACCCAATTCGTCGATAAACTCTATAACGTTAATGTCGAAGGTTACACCCAGCAATCTTCCATAAAATGCTGTACCAATTTTTGCAATTGGTACGCAGTAGTGCATCACATCTACGACGGCTTCGATAGCTTTTGAGATGTTCGGAAAGCTGCAAACGGCGGCAGCTATCTGAAAAAAGACAGCTTCGAAAAAGTGTTCGACACTGTTGAACATAATGCAGCGTAGATAGCACTGGCAGAACAAGCATCTACACCGTTACATCAGTCTGCTAAAGGAAACGACCTCTGGCTATATCACAAATATCATGCTGTTCAACACCCCGTAACCCGTCGGATTCCCTTAAAGAAAGGCGTGAAACAAGTAGACACCATCTCTCAAACTATTTATGGCCAGTATGGAAATTATATTCTGAAGGATAAACTGGAATAGTGTGATTAACATCAATGGTAAACAGTTCAGCCAGCTAAGATTCGCAAATGATGTGGTGTCGCTTGTAGAAAACGCAGTACGATACAAGACATGATGCAAGAGCTCGAAAAAAATGCAAAAGTCAGACTAGGAATCAATCGGTTAAAGACAAAGATACTGCAATCGCATGCCCAGCAGAAGCGCCGGTAATATTAAACGGCGAAAAGACTAAAGCAGCTGATAAATAAGTTTTCCTGCACCAAGATTAACACGCGGCGTGATTAGGCTGGAGAGATTCAATGAAAAAACAGGGTCTGCTAGAGCAATTTTCAGCCCACAAACGTCACTCTTCGCAACATCATGAAAACACTTTTCGCCAATATCTTCAAATCTACCGTCATGCCAGCAAGGTTGTATGGCTGTGAGACGTGCTCGCTTACTAAAGCCAAGAATAACAGCTATCTATCACGAAGAGAGTCATGTAAAAAGAAATCTGGGAATTTCAAGTTGAGACCACATTCCAAACACGGTGTTCAGACAACGAACAGGAGTGAAAGACGTCGTTGTCGAAAACATAAAGGAGAAGCTGCGGTAGACCGGTCACACAGCTCGGTTCACCGACGTGAGATGATCGGCGATGATCGCCAATTAGTACTCTAACCACGACGGTGAAAACATATCAGGAACAGGGAATGCTGCGCTTGGATGGAGAAGGATCGAAATCTTGAGGAATGGGGGAGGGGGCGTAGTGTGGCCGCCTAAATTCGTTGCCGATTACTGGCCGGTCCAGGTAACACACGTGATATCCAACGCCATAGTCAGTGCCCTTTGCAAGATCATCAAGCTCTGTCCTGCCAAGAAAAAAGGCGTGATCAGCGTTGGTTGGGAGACATGTTCAGACAATTACCAGACGACAACGCCTCCATTTCAATGAATGTCACTTCGATCCCTGTTCTTAACTGTAGAATGTTGAAATTTTTATTCGTTCGTGTCGACCTGGCGCACAGTGATAGTGGCTTTTAAGATGGCAGATGGTAGCGTAGGCTATCTTGTTCATTAATGGACGAAAAACGCAAACAAGCCAAATTCACTGACGTCTGCAACCGCTTTCACTTCTTGACCTGACTTATCAAAAATTCAACTAGAGTTGCTAGTCGGAAGACTGCCGGACTCAAGATCGACAAGTTCCGACTGCGAACTCCGATTGAGTTAATTCAC